CAAGTTAATTTTGTACTTTTATAACTTGTGGTTGATATAACAGTGAAACATTACTCATAGTCTCTTCAACTGAACCAAAGTTGTAAATGAATAAAAGCTCACACATATTTATACAATATTTATTCGACTTTTTAATTTGGGTGATTGAAAAGCCTAAAAATGATCCCTTGTCACGTACATGCAGGGAGATAAATTCATTTTTTGGTATTATGGTCTGAACTGCAGTTAAATTCCCTTTTTTTTTTCATTGTTTTGTTTGGCCAGCATCCAATGCGCCTTAAAATCTGTTTTTGTTATACAGGGTTTCGTACATGAGGCAAAAAAAAAAAGGGAAGAAAATTTAAAAATAGTATAACGTTAGCATCCAATTATCTGGTTTTTCCAAGTGTTTTTACTTAAACAGACATCCTTGCAACTTTTCACCTGAAGAAAAGGACAGAACTCAAACATGAATTTATTTATGTCTACAGTTTTACACCACTTTGGTGCACTTTGAGCAAGTCAACCCTTTTTAGCAACAACATGATGAAGCACGTTTAGCTGTAACTGCACAATCAGGAGGAAAGTGGTTGTCAGTTGTCTCAGGAAGTGATGAGGGTGAAGATGAAGCTGCTATGAAAGGATGTTAAGTTTGTTGTGTAAATGTCTCTCAGGGGGGATACCTGCAGAAAGATTTTAAATGATAAGTTAGAGGGACTAAATCATTTTTAAATCATCAAATCTATCGCTTCTGTCATTTCGAACATACTTATTGTATTCCCTGGTCATTCCATCATATCTGCACTATTCTTACATCAGCAAAACACTTAATCTATACTTGTCACGACCATGAAGAAGGTTTTAAATAACGTTTGCTGCACAAGTACAACAATAAGGTCTCAAGTCCTAAATCTACACTAAATGTTTCTGTTCTCTCCAGTCAGAAGAACCGCAAACACACATGTCAACATAAAAATGTCTCAAGTATTTCATCTAAGAATATATTTCTATTTGCAGTCAATCATTTCAACCATGTTTCACCACTGTCCTCCAGTTTTTTTTTTTTTGTTTTTTTGTTTTTGGAAACTGTTGTCTTGTTGCTGCTTATTTTATCACTTAATCCTTCTGTGTTTTCAGTTGAGGAATGAACTGAGAATTTAAACTGGTGCAAACTGAATTGTTAGCTCCAAAAAGTGGCAGTACAGGTGAAAAAAAAAAGAAGAAGAATTCTTTTGGCTCCATCCAGACACGTCTCTTCTTTATGTCCTCCCACGTGAACAGACAGTAAAACACAGCGTTGTTCTCCCACAGACTGAGTGAACGGCTCTGGACAAAGACAGAAGCAGCAGACGACCCAGATTGCCCCAATAAAACCCATCAGCCAGAGGAAGCAGTGGTTATGACAGCAGGGGTGTGTTGTGATTTGTTTGCGGTTCAAGGTTTATTTGCAGCCTTGGACTCATTGTGTTTTCTGCTGTCTGGACCCCCGTTGTTCAAAGTCAGGACCCCAAGATTGTAGAGAGACAGAGACAGAGACAGAGAGAGAAAGGGGCAGGAAAACAAAAGGGAAAAAAAAAAGGCTGAGAGCCTCTTCACCTTTATGTTTTCCTTTCTGCAGCACTTTGACAGTTTGAGACGTTACTGCAGAGGTCATAAAAAGCTGCTTGATAATTTCACTTTACAGCCTATTTAAGTGGGCCTCTGGGTGTACTTAAGTTGTTGCGAAAGTGACATTAAGTTCACTTTGATACTGTCTGAAACCCCTCAAACAGCAGAAGCTTTTCTTTACAATACCAGAAATATTTATTATTATTTATTGTTTGTTTTCAAAGTCACACAAAACCTTAAATGTTATTTGTTTTTAATGAAACTTGTTTTTTTTCCCTGGAAATGCAAAAACTACAAAACCTCATCAGTTTTATGCATACAGCCCATAATCAGAACTTTCATTTTAAAGTCAACTTAAACAAAAACTAAGTCAATAGAACAATTTTAAATTATTTGTTTATTTTTTTTTACTTCTGTTAACTTAACGTGTGTCATTTAAACACGTTGGTGTCTACAGAAATGTAGGAATCTTGGCTAAAAGCTCATTAAAACATTTCTGCATCCAACAAACAGTTAAAACCACAAGTTGAAACATAAAGGAAAATAATGTCAATGCAAGTAAATACATCAGAGCAAATCTTTGAAAAAATAATTTTTAAATTTATTTTTTATAGAAATGTAAGTCAAAGCAAATACCAAAATACACTGTAAAGCGTTTTAAAGAGTTTTAAATAACTGTGCTTCAATTGGAGTCAAAAACTGATTTTTCATTGTTTTATATGAAAAGTGTGAAAATAAATGTATTAAAAAACGTTAAAAAACAAGTCTTTTCAGGCATGTAAGAAAAAAGAATTAATTTTGCAAGTAATAACCTACGATTTCTTAACACCACGATGGCCTGTTGGTGCAGAATGACAAAATGTTATTTCTTTACTAAAACCTCTGTAACTTTGCTGTAGTTTATTTTAGCAGCTTGAATCTTTACACAGGTAATGTCCACATGGAAATTCATGTTTTCTGAGTGTTTTTAGCCTTATTTGTTATATTTTAAAAGGTTTACATACTGTCTAATGCAGGAAAATGTCAGGCAAAGTGAAGAAAAAAATCATCAACATTTTCTGTTCCATCCTTAATTTCTCTGAACAGCAGCTGCTGTATTTTGATTCTGAGGTTATTCAAATAGTTTGTAAACGCTGAGACACACTCAGTTACATTATATGTTATTTCAACCCAAACTAAAACAAACCAGAGATGTATAGTAACTAAGTACATTTACTTTATTACAGTACTTATATTTTTAGAATTTGTAATTTGTCTTTTTAAACATAAATTTTACTTTAGTTTTGTTACATTTAAAACATGAAAATGATACTTTTACTTATTTACTTTAAAATATAATACCTTGTTAAACGCTACAAATTTAAATATTACCAGAACTCATCATGTGCACTCTAAAAAATGAAGTGTTGAATTAATAAACCAAGTTATGTCGACTGATTCCACTAAACCAAAGTAAGCAAATGTAAAGCAATTTATACATTTACAAAAAATAAATTCAAATTGCACAACTCAATTTAATAGAACTGGATTGGATAAATTCAATTTAATTTCTTAATGTGTGTGTAAAAGTACCCAATTATTGTGAGTAGTTTTATGATTTTTACATTTTTTTATCATTAGTGAGATTTTTTAAAGTCATTTTCTGTGAAGGTGTTTTTACTTTTACTACTTTATAAACCTCTGAAGGAAAGCCCTTGGGGCTGAAGAGGTTGCCCTCAAAACAATTGAGTTACTTCAAAAATTCCTTTCTGAGTTCCTTTAATTGATGGGAATGAGTGATGTTTTCCTAAGTTTAAGTTATTTCAACTTATTAAATTTCAAGTTTTCTAGTGAAGTCATATTACTTTGACTTTT